TTTTTTTTTTTTTTTTTTTTGCTGTTTGCATGGCTCGTTCCACAGCTGGATTGCCCAGGGATTTGGTGCCCAGGTCATTCCACCACATCCAGATGTTTTGAGGTGTCCACCTTGAACATCTGCAGCACCAAAAAATGTAGAATAAATTCCCGTTCATCTGCATCCCAGCACATGGATTATTATTATTATAATATTATATAATATTAATTAAATTAAAAAAAAAAAATCTAATTACTCTGCCTGTTCGGGCTCAAAAGTCCAGTTTTTTATCACATCCTTTCTACAAATAACTATTCTATAAATTATTATTATTAATGCCCAAATTCCTCAAAAAAATCTAATTATTCTGCCTGTTTGGGCTCAAAAGTCCAGTTTTTGATTACATCACTTCTATAAATAACTATTCTATAAATAGAACTATGCTATATAAAAAACTATCCTATATAAAAACTATTCTATATAAAAAACTAAACTCTTCTATATAAAAACTCTTCTATATAAAAAACTCTTTTATATAAAAAAACTCTTCTATATAAAAAAACTCTTCTATATAAAAAACTCTTCTATATAAAAACCTCTTCTATATAAAAACCTCTTCTATATAAAAACTATATTATTATATCCTATAATATATATACCATATAGGATATATTTGATATACTTATGATAAAAATATATTTATAAATAGTGTAGTGCTAATAATAATATGTTAATGTTATGTAAATATGTTAATGATACTATTCAATAATATCTTAAACGGAAATGGGAATATTGGGATAATTTATATGGGAACTTCAGTTTACTTCAGAACACTCAACAAGTCCACTAAAAAAAAAATCCTAAAAAATTCTTTCGGTTAGAAAATAATTTCTTTTTAACAGAAATTGACGCTCCCAGCTCTGGAGTTTCCCAGGGTGAAAACAAACAAAAACCAAAAATAAGTTACACCCCCAACCCTGGAATTTCTCTGACGTCGAAACCACATGAGAAACAGAAAAGAAATTTCAACTCAAAAACGGAAGCAGAACTTGGGAGTGTCCAGGAGGAATCGCCAAGCCCGGCTCTCTCGGAGAGTCTCAAAATTTCCCATCACGTGCCAAGGATGAGGCGCAGCATTCCAGAGAAATTCCCGGCACGGACGGGAAACACGGAACGCTGACCTCACCCCCCACTTGACACAGCGCGAAGTTGTTTTTTTTTTTAAATTTAAACAATCCCCGAACCACCAAAACACGGCTAAAAAAAATTCCTTGTGCCCGTACCTTTTTCCGCTTGGAAGTGGCGGTTGTGTCCCCGCGGTTGTGTTTTTCCAGCTGGGCCCTGCACACGCCGAGGTGCTCGGGGCTGACAGGGCTCGGCCTCTCTGTTCTTTTTTTCTCCGCTGTCTGAAAGGCCGCCGTGAAATTCAAAGGGTTATAGGGATCGTCCGAGCTACAGAACGAGTTCCAGAGTTTTAAGTTTTCCCCCTCATCCCCGCTGTTGTCGCAGTCCCACTCGTCCTCCTCGGAACTGGGAGAGGCCTCGGAGGACTCTGCCCATGAGCCTTCCTCCTCCTCCTCCTCCTCCATGTCCGACATTCCCTTTCCCGGCTCGCTGGGAGCCGTCTGGATGGTGGCTGTGAAGTTCTGAGGGTTGTAGGGATCCAAGCTGTAGAAGGAATTCCACAGATGGAGCCTCTCCCCGTCCTGGCTGCCGGCGTCCGAGTCCGAGGGCAGCTCTTCGCTGTCAAACCCGTCATCACCTTCTTCATCATCACCATCATCATCATCCCAGTCTTCCTCATCCTCACTCTCCTCCCCACTGGATACTCCCCCGATGATATAATCGATTAATTTATTCGCGCACGCGGGTCTGGCCGAAATTGGGAAGCTTTGCTCGGTTTCCGAGTCCTCACCTTCCTCTTCGGCCAAGGCTTCCCTTTCCTCAGCCGCATCCCGGAGCGTCTCCGGCTCCCCGGGGACACCTCCGGGCTGTGTCCCCGAATCCTCGGGCAGCTCCAAATCCCCAGCATTGCCGATTTCTCGGCGGCCATCCCCGTGCTGCTGCTGCTGCTCCTCCTCCAGGCTGTGGTAGCCGTGGTCAGGGTCGGGCACGGGCAGACGCCCAGGCTGGAGGAACGCCAGGCGCTTGCTGCGCAAGAACTCAACCTCGGGCAAGCCCTCGGCTCGCAGGGGCTGCGGAAAGTGGCTCCTGCCCTGCTCCAAGCCCAGCACGTACCAGTAATCCATGGGAAGGGTCCCCATGCTGCCCCGCACCGGCCCGGCTCCCCACAGCCCCGCCGGCGGCTCGGGGCCGCTCTCCGGCCGCTTCTCCGGGGCTTCCTCCTCGGTCCAGTCCAGCGAGGTGTCCGCCTTGGGCAGCAGCACCAGCGGCAGCGGTGCCTTGGCGGGGCACAGCGCGGAGCTCAGCGCGGCGCCGGGCAGCAGCCGCTGCAGGAGGGCGGGCAGCGGCGACAGCAGCTGCGACACCACGCGCAGCAAGGAGAAGGGCGGGCTCGCCTGCGACGAGCCGCCGGCGGGGGCCGCGCTGGGCCCCGCCAGTTTCGGCCAGGCCGCGGCCAGGCCCAGCCGGGCCCATCCCAAGCCGTGGCCGGCGCGTTCGCGACCGCTGTGCTCCATGAAGCCGTTCAGCGCCGCCTGCGGTGCGGAGGGGAGTGTGGAGCGGCGCTCCGTGGCCGTGCGGTGAGTCTGAAGGCTCGGGATGCGGCGGGCAGCTCCAGCTCGCGTTTCGAATCCATCCTGAAGCAGCTTCAGCACAAAATGGCGGCGCCGCCGCCGCAGCTCCTTTCACCCCCAAGAGGGGAGGGGCGGGGGCGGCACCCACTCTGCCCCGCCCACTTCGTGTCAACACCTCCCATTGGGCGGTGTCGGTGAGGCCACGCCCCTTTTCCCCGTGGCCACGCCCCGCGGGGATTGCATCAGCCGGGCGCGCGCCGCGCGGCAGCGCCCCCTGGCGGCCCGGCGGGAGTGGGGGGGGGGAAGCCCGAACCCACCCGGGGTTGGTCACGGGACATTTTGGGGACCCTCTGGGGACACTTTGGGGACAGCGGTGGGTGAGGGGCGCACTGGGAGAGGAGCTGGAGGATGTTGGGGGTTGAGGGAGGCAGAGCCCAGACCCCCAGGGCTCGGCATTCTGGAGGGTGTGGCAGGCAGAGGTGCAGAAGTGCGGGCAGATGTGTGCCCAGATGTGTGCCCAGATGTGCAGGCAGAGGGGCAGATGTGCCGCCCCGTGTGCCTTTCATCCCCTTTTTTGATCCCATTCCCGTGCTCCAGGCAGGAGGCTCCCAAGGCAGGAGATTCCCAATTCCCCCACCCGTGAGAAATATCCCCACACTCCAACTGCCACCAGATGCAATATTTAAAACTTTTAATATAAAGGTTAAAGTTAATTATTCTCGATCCTGAGAAACATTTCGTCCGTTTACGGAGCTGTCGCTGTAAACAAAGCACCACAGGCACCAAGCCCGCACCCGGGGCCGGGTGACAGGCGGGGAGGACACAGATGTCCCCAGGGCATGGGGACACCAAGGGTGGCACGGGGCGGGCACCTCGCCACGCCGCTCTCCTTTGGGAGCGAATTCCCTGCCGTGGGAATTGCCCGGTTCCTGGGGTGGGGAGAGGGGTTCCACACACCCCAAAAAAAACCCCCCACCATGTGCCACCTTCCCTTTCCCCTCCGCCCCGGTGCTCACGCTACTCGTTATTAAAAAAAATTAAAATACGCATATCCCGAAGGAAGAAATAACCCCCGAACCGCCCCACGCCCCTCCCTCCCCGCGTTGCTCCCTTGACACAAGGTAAACTTAAAAAAGAAGCCACCTGGGCAGCGCCCTTTTGGGGACACACCCGGGGGTCCCCAGGGGGCACTCAGAGGGTGCCGTGGCCACGAGATCCCAGGGCGAACCAGCCCATCTTCTCCTGGGCCAGGTCCAGGTCACGGAGGCGAATTCCCACCTCCCCCAGCAGGATGTTCTCCCAAAATCCTTCCTCGCTCAGCACGCTCAGCCGCAGCTCCCGCTGCTCCAGGTCCCCCCGGGGGATCCCGTCGTACACCAGCTGCGGGGACACAAAGGGGACAAACCCCCTCAGCCACTGCCACCCGTGGGGACGCCCCAAATCCATCCCAGGCCCGCCTACCATCTCGTTGTAGGTGGGGTTGCAGGTTTTTCGGGCCACTTTGGTTTTCCTCTTGGTGGTTTTTTGGGGGTCGGGCAGCAGGTAGGTTTTGACGTAGGGGTCGGGGTCGTTGCCGTCCTGCAGGGGTGGCTGTGGGGGCGAGTGGGGACACGAGGTGAGCACAGGGAGGGGGACAGGGCCACCCCACCCTGGTCCCATGGGTGCCCCGGTCCTACCAGCCCTCGGATGTGCATCACCATGATGAAGAGCTTGTTGTTCTTGTAGGAGATGGAGAGTTTCACCTCCCCGCCGACCTTGCCCAGGGATCGAGCCCACGTGGCGTCTGGAGAGGGGGACAGGAGGGATGGGACACCCCTGATGTCACACCCCCCCCTAAAATCGTCCCCCAAAATCACCCCCCCCAAAATCATCCCTTCCCCACCTGCTGGCTTCGGGCTCGGGTTGGTTCCGGCCGCCTTCTCATCCCGGGGCAGGGGGTGGAAGAAGGTGTAGATGAGGTCACACTGCAGGGCCAGGAGGCGACATTAGTGGTGACAGCGGTGACAACATCCCCGCCACTCCAAACCAGGGTACGCTCCCATGCTGCGTTGTCCCCAAGCACTCCCCCCCCCCACCTCGCTGGTGGCCCTGGCGCTGTCCCCACCTCCCTGCAGCCGTGTCCCCACCTCTGCCACCTCGGGGGCGGCGTGGATCAGGTGCCAGATGTAGCCATTGAGCTCCTCCTTGCGCCGCTCGGCCACCGCCTCGCCCCGCGAGCGCCCGATGACAAACCTGCTGGGGAAGCTGCGGGGACAGACACTCATGGGGGGGCGTCCCAGGGGGGTTTTGGGGAGTCCCTGAAGGTCCAGAGGGGTTTCGGGGCTACCTGGGCAGCAGCGAGGAGGGGAAGAGGAGGCGCAGTTTGTTGTGCAGCTCCTGGAACTCCTCGAAGGTGCGCTGCACGAAGGTCACGTCGCCCGGGTTGTCCCTCTGCACCTTCACCACGTAGGTCTGCAGAGAGGAGGGGCCGTGACCCGGGGTGGCCTGAACCCAGCCCGGGGCTGTCCCCAGCTGTCCCCACTCACGTAGCCCTTGCTGGGGTTGAAGACCCGCTCGTGGCGGCACAGGAAGACGTCGCGGATCCGGCCGGACGTTTTGAGGGTGTGCGTGCGGGGCGCGAAGGACAGCGAGGGCCGCGCCTCCGAGCCCGTGAACTTCATCTGCGCCAGGTTGTGGATGAAGAAGTTGAGCTTGGTGGCCACGCTGCCCAGGCTGGACTCGATCAACCTGTAAGGAGGCCACCGTGTGCTCAGTGCCACCATCCGAGGGACGCTCCGGGCGCTGCGGTGTCACCCACCAGTGTCCCCGACCTGGTGAAGTAGGTGGTGGCATCGGCATCGGAGTCCTGCGGCCTCAGCGCGTCGTAGACGTACTTGAGGTCCTCCAGGTCGGAGAGCTCGGGGATGCCACAGGACAGCATCTGGCAGGAATGAGGACAGGGGTGAGGACAGGGGACAGAGGGACCCCCGTGCCATGCTGAGGGTTATTTGGTGGCCCCCGGGCTCTCACCAGCCCCAGCAGGTTGAGGAAGAGGTGGGTGTGCTTGCGGATCAGGTTGTAGGCCTGGCAGCACAGGTCCACGAAGTCGTGGAAGCGGCTGGAGGGTTTGTCCCCGCCGTTGATGACGTACGCCATGTCCGAGGTGAAGACAAACGGCGCCCGGTCCCTGCCAGGGGACAGGAGGGACAGAGTGAGCAGGGATGGGGGGCGGGATGAGGAGAGGGAGAGGTCACTGGTCACCAGGACAGGGAGAGGGAGAGGTCACTGGTCACCAGGACGGGGAGAGGTCACTGATCACCAGGATGAAGAGAGGGAGAGGTCACTGGTCACCAGGATGAGAAGGTGAGGTCACTGGTCACCAGGACATGGAGAGGGAGAGGTCACTGGTCACCAAGACAGGGAGAGGTCACTGATCACCAGGATGAGGAGAGGGAGAGTCACTGGTCACCAGGACACGGAGAAAAGGAAGTCACCCACCACCAGGACAAGGAGAGGGAAAGGTCACCCACTTCCAGGACAAGGAGAGGGAAAGGTCACTGATCACCAGGACAAGGAGAAGGGGAGGTCACTGTGGCCACCACTGAGATGACAGGGAGACGTCACCCACCACCAGGACAAGGAGAGGGAAAGGTCACCGACCACCAGGACAAGCACAGGGAGCTTCCCCCCGAGATTCCAGGGGCTTCTCTCACCTCTTGATGTTGCCGAACATCTGGGCGTGGCCCAGGAACCTGCCAAAATCGATGTGGAACATGTGGCCCGTGGTCTTGAGCATGATGTTGTCGTTGTGCCTGTCACAGATGCCCAGCACGTAGGTGGCCACGCAGCAGCCGGCACAGGAATAGATGAAATTCTCCACGGCCTGCGAGGAAGGAGAGAAGGACAAGGAGAAAGGATGAGAAGCAAGGGGGTGGATCCTGGAATGGGGGGCAGGAGGAGCAGGGGGTTCTTCCTCACCTTCTCGTACTCGTCCTCCTTGGGGTTGTGTTTCTGCAGCCAGTCTGCCAGCGGCCGGTCCTTGAAGGAGCCGGTGACGCCGTGCTCCACCTGGATCTTCCTCAGGGTCTCGGCGTTGGGGATCATCTCCACCATGCCTGGCAGGTGGGACAGCGCGGTGAGACCCTTCCAACCCCAAAAAACCACGACCTCAACCCCTTTGTCACCAAGCCAACCGCTCCCCACCCTGTGTGACAGGGATGGGCTGGTGGGATCAGACCCCAGGATGTCCCACCCGGAGCCTGGTGACCCCTGGGGACCCCCAAACTCGGGCTCACCTCGCCCACGGCCGGTGGAGAAGCAGCGGAAGATGACCATGCGCATGTCCAGCCCCTCCTGCACCCAGATCTTGTTCATGATGCGGATCATCTGCAGCGTCAGCATGTCCTGCCGCAGGTCATCGCCACACTGCCGGGACAAGAGCCAGCAGGGCCATCAGGGCCAGGGGAGAACCACCGGGGCCAGGGCAAGAGCCATCAGAGCCAGGGAGGACCCATCAGAGCCAGGGAGGAGCCACCAGAGCCATCAGAGCCAGGGAGGACCCATCAGAGCCAGGGAGGAGCCACCAGGGCCATCAGAGCCAGGGGAGAACAACCAGGGCCACCAAAGCCAGAGAAGAACCACCAGAGACACCAGAGGCAGAGGAGAACCACCAGAGCCAGGGAAAAGCCACCAGAGCCAGGGAGGGGCCACCAGAGCCAGGGAGGGCCCACCAGAGCCAGGAAGGAGCCATCAGAGCCAGGCAAGAACCACCAGAACCATCAGAGCCAGGGAAGAGCCACCAGAGCCAAGGAGGAGCCATCAGAGCCAAGGAGCCAGGGGAGAACCCCCAGGGCCTCAGAGCCACCAGGGCCAGGCAGGAGCCACCAGAGGCACCAGAGGCAGGAGGAGCCCTCAGAACCCAGAGCAGGGGCAGTCTCAGAGGGCTGTGCCAGGATCTGGGCATTCCCAAAGGCGCCGGGCTCACCTTGAAGATGACGCGGATGTTCTCCCCGAGAGGATCCACGTTCTGGAAGGAGAGCTTCAGCGGGACGGCGTTGGAGTTGAAGTAGGAGCAGTCCTGGCAGGGGAAGGAGGGAGGGGCAGCGGTCAGGGGCGAGCTGGGAGGGGGCAGAGGAGGCCCCCGAGCCCCCCGGGCCGGGCACTCACCCGGGGCACGATGCCCTTGACCAGCAGGCTGGGGCTGAGCGGCAGCCGGCACGAGCCGTGGGCCTTGAAGAACTGAGCCACGTCCTCCAGCCCCTCCCGCAGGATCCCCTGTGGGGTGGGAATGGGGTGGGATAATGGGGTGGGATAATGGGATGGGATGGGATGGGATGGGATGGGATGGGATGGGATGGGATGGGCAAGGAACAAGGTGACCATGGGATAGAGAGGGATGTGCATGGGAAAGGATTAGCATGGAACACAGTGAGCAAAACGCAGTGTGGACACGGGAAAGGGTAGGAATGTGATGGGACGAGGTGGGAATGGGATTGGAGAGGTGAGTGTGGGACTGGCACCCAGCACCCCTGCACCCCACCCAGCACCCCTGCACCCCACCCAGATCTCCAGCACCCCTCCCAGCACCCCAGCACCCCTCCCAGCACCCCAGCACCCCACCCAGCACCCCCTGCACCCCTCCCAGCACCCCCAGCACCCACCTGGCGGGCGGATGGGGCGGCGTCCCGGACCTGCTGTGCCAGCCGGGCCAGCGTGCTGACCAGCAGGCACTGCCGGTCGAATTCCTCACGCAGCCCCTTCCCGCAGCAGCACAGCAGCGCTGCCAGCAGGTACTGGTACCGGATACTGAACTGCGAGTCCTTGAGGCCATCCTTCAGCAGCCTGCTGGGGACACGCGGGGTCAGGCCAGCCTCGGGGTGTCACTCGGTTTGGGGACACACGGGGTCAGGTCGGGCCCAGGGTGTCACTCGGTTTGGGGACACGCGGGGTCAGGTCGGGCCCAGGGTGTCCCCAGCACTCCCAGAGCCCCCCAGACCCACCAGAAGAAGTAGTGGGTGACCTTCAGGTCACAGATGGCTCTCTTCATGAGGAAGCGCACCAGGGGACTGTCCAGGTAGCACTCGTACTTCAGGGCCTGCACAGGGGACAGTGGCACAGGGCACAGTGTCACAGGGGCACGGTGGCACCACAGGGCACCCCCTGTGGCACATCCCGGGGCCACCACACACCTGGACCAGCTGGGGCAGGTAATCCAGCAGCTCCGTGTCCGAGATGGAATCGATCCACTGCACGGCCGTCCTCCTCACCTCCTGGTCAGGGAACCTGCAGCCAGGACACGGCCATGGGGTGACAGTGTCACCACCACACGGCACAGGGGTGTCCCCACGGCCCATCACGGGTGGCTTACGTGGCGTGCAGCAGCCCCAGGGCGTCCTGGTGGCTCATGGAGCTCCAGTGGCTGAGCAGGGCGTAGATGTCGGGCAGGCAGCCCCAGTCCCAGCTGGGGGCACTGGCCAGCAGCATGGGCAGGGCGCCGGGGGACTCGTGGCAGTGGCAGCGCTTCTCCCACAGCCGCTGCCGGTCCGCGTCCGTCAGCCTGCGGGGACACGGCGACACGGGGACAGCGTCAGGGACAGGGGCAGGGTGGCGGTGGGAGGGTGAGGAGGTGGCAGCCCTGTGACCCCAAATCATGTTGGAGCTCAGGGAGATGCCATCCCCGTGTCCCCATCACACACAGAAGGTCAGGACGTGCCATCCTGTGTCCCCATCACATGTTGGAGCTCAGGGAGGTGGCATTGCTGTGTCCCCAAAACACGTGGAAGGTCAGGGAGGTGGCATCCCTGTGACCCCAAAACACGTGGATGGTCAGGGAGGTGACATTCCTGTGCCTCACTGTGCATGGAGAGAAGAGGGGTGGCAGGACGGGGAGGTGGCATCTCTGTGTCCCCATCACACATGGCAGTTCAGGGAGGTGGCACTCCTGTGCCCCACTGTGCATGGATTAAATGGGGTTGGCAGGATTGGGAAGTGACATTCCTGTGACCCCAAAACACATGGATGGGATGGGGCTGGAAGGTCGGGGAGGTGACATTCCTGTGTCCCCAAAACACACAGATGGGATGGGGCTGGAAGGTCGGGGAGGTGACATTCCTGTGTCCCCAAAACACACAGATGGGATGGGGCTGGAAGGTCGGAGAGGTGACATTCCTGTGTCCCCAAAACACACAGATGGGATGGGGCTGGAAGGTCGGGGAGGTGACATTCCTGTGTCCCACTGTGCATGGAGAGAAGGGGGGGTGGCAGGACAGGGAGGTGGCATCCCTGTGACCCCAAAACACACTGGCAGGATTGGGTGTGTGGCCCCTCTGCCCCCACCTTTTATTGGAACCCAAATAAATCCCCTGAGCCCTCCCCGCACCCCCGCCTGGCCCTGCCCCTGGAAAGGAGGGGCTGAGGGACAGCAGGACCCAAAGCCCCGTGCCCAGGGTGGTCTGGGCTGTCCCTGGCTGTCCCCCTGCCCAGGGACCCCCGAGCCAGCCCCGCTGGCCGAGCACCCCCACACTCTGCTCAGCTGCTGACACCCGATCCCCCCGGACCATGCCAGGCTGTCCCCTGTCAGCTGTCCCCAAGGAGAGGGACAACAGCGAGGGCAGAGCACCCAGAACCGCCCAGCTCCAGAAAACTCCGACTCCTCATCCCTGGAGGGAGGCTCAGCCCCTCAGACACCGCCTGTGTCCCCATGGGGGGATGTCACCGCTGTCCCCCCCAGCAGGGCAATGCCACCGCCGGGTTTATTTACCAATAAAGGGATTTTTTCTGCATGGCCTCCCGCAGCTGGCGCTGGTCCTCCTCCCCCAGGCTGCCGAACTCGTACCTGGGGCTGCTCTCGGCCGCGGGCGGGTTGGTGAACTTCACCTCGAAGGCCGAGGTGGGGAAATCGATCTGGGGCAGAGGCAGAGGGTGAGGGGATGCCCACGTGGGGCTCTGGGGGGGATCTGTGCCCCTGCAGTGCCCGGCTGTACCTGCAGGATGACGCTGTCGGGCTGGTTGAAGTTTGGGGCGCTCGACCTGGCCCTGGAGTTGTCCTGAGTCGCCGGCCACAAGCCCAGGAGCTTCCGCCCGCAGGTCAGGACCCTGGGGGGGACACAAAGGGTGGCACTGGGGGGGCCGCTCTGCTGGGGCACGAGGGTGGCACCGCTGCTGGTGCTGAGCTGAGGCACTGGGGACATCATGGCACTGGGGACACCGAGATTCTGGGGGCCCCATGGCACTGGGGACACCGAGATTCTGGGGACACTGAGGTTCTGGAGACCCTCCTGTCCTCCCCAGGGATGCCAGCCCAGCCCCTCCCTGTGCCCAAGGTTCTGGGGAGCCCACAACACTGGGGACACCAAGGTTCTGGGCACCCCAAGGCACTGGGGACCCTCCTGTGACCCCCAGAGATGCCAGCCCAGCCCCTCCCTGTGTCCAAGATCCTGGGGACCCCACGACACTGGGGACACCGAAGTTCTGGGGACACTGAAGTTCTGGGCACCCCACGGCCCTGGGGACCCTCCTGTGCCCCCCAGAGATGCCAGCCCAGTCCCTTCCTGTACCCAGGGTTCTGGGGACCCCATGGCACTGGGGACACCGAGGTTCTGGGGACACTGAAGTTCTGGGCACCCCACGGCCCTGGGGACCCTCCTGTGCCCCCCAGAGATGCCAGCCCAGCCCCTCGCCGTGCCCAGGGTGCTGGCACACCCCACGTACTGCCTGAAGTTGAAGAGGGGGGTGGTGACCCAGCCCAGGGCCTCGGGGACCCGGCGTTGCTTGTTGGTGTCAGAGGAGCTGCCCGGGGGTGGCACGGGCACGGCAAAGAGGGTGACACTGAGCAGGGTCTCCCTGGGCAGCCGGTTCACCTGGACTGGGAAGCAGATCCTGCAGGAGAGAGGCTGGGAATGGGCTCGGGGTGGTGGGGATGGGCTTGGGGTGATGGGGACAGGTTTAGGGTGCCAGGGGGAATGGGTTTAGGGTGATGGGGACAGGTTCAGGGTGATGGGGATGGGTTCAGGGTGATGGGGATGAGCTTGGCATGGCAGGGATGGGCTCAGGATAATGGGGTTGGGCTCAGGGTGATGGGGACAGGCTCAGGGTGATGGGGACAGGCTCAGGGATGGGCTCAGGGTGCCAGGGATGGGCTCAGGGTGATGGGGACAGGCTCAGGGTGATGGGGACGCGCTCTTCCAGTCCCCTCCTTGGGATGCCCCAGGAGAGCCCGGCCCTACAGCCGCCTTTGCTGCTGGCACCGGGGTGTCCCTGGCAGTCCCTGGCAGTCCCTGGCAGTCCCTGGCAGTCCCTGTCAGTCCCTGGCAGTCCCTGGCAGTCCCTGGCAGGCCCAGACACCCCCTCAGGTTTGGGCACAGCCGGCTGGTGCTGCCCCAGCTCCGGGACTCCCGGCTGCACTCTCGGTCCCCGAAGGTGACCGCAGGGACAGGGCCCTCCACGGCGACCCCGCCGGGCACTGACCTTGCCCCACAACCCCGTGGGACCCCGGGGCTGGGATTCCTCTCCTGCGCTCCCAGGGAGCTCGGGGTGGCAGCTACATCCCGCGGGAAGGGGATGGATCCCCGGGATCGCCGCGCTCGCCGCCGTCCCGCCGGGCCCCTGTCCTTGGGGGCACCGGCGCCTTCTAAAATTATCCCAGCCCATCCCCACCTCCCCGGGCTCTGGGGATGCCAGGCATGGCCAGGCCTCCCCGCCTGCTCCCGGAGCTATTTTGGGAGCAGATCCCCTTTCCCAGGGCTTGCTATTCCCGGGGAGTGACACAAAAAACTTCCAACACCCAAAAAAAAAAACCAAAAAAAAAACAACCCGGCGCGGAGAGGAACAGGAGAGGAGAAGAGGATGGTGAGGATGATGAAGGCAGCGTGGGTGGGCACCAGGACCCCCGTGGCCGTGCCATGGCCTTACTGCTGGTCCCAAATGATGAGGTGGAAGAGGTATTTGTAGACGTGGGCCTTCCTGGTGAGCAGGGGGCTGCACAGCTCCTTCCCGCCGTGGCTGAGGGAGCACGAGAGGTAGAAATCTTCATAACTGTGGGGAAAACACCAGTGAGCTGGGCGGGGCCACCTGAGCCCCTAAATCCTGCCCCGAGGATGGGAAAAGGGTGACAGGGGGTTACCCGGATCACTGGAACCCCTAAATCCTTCCCCAAGGATGGGAAAGAGGTGAGGGGGTTTACCAGGGCCACCAGAAGCCCTAAATCCTGCCCTGAGGATGGAAAAGGGTGAGAGGCTTTATCAGGGCCACGAGAACCCCTAAATCCTGCCCCAAAGATGGTAAAGGAGTGGGGGGGTATACCCAGAACACCAGAACCCCTAAATCCTGCCCTGGGGATGGAAAAGGGTGAGAGGATTTACCAGGGCCACCAGAACCCCTAAATCATTCCCCAAAGATGGGAAAGGGGTGGGAGGGGTTACCCAGATCACTGGAGCCCCAAAATCCTTCCCCAAGGATGGAAAAGGGTGAGGGGTATACCCAGACCACCAGAACCCCTAAATCCTTTCCCGAGGATGGGGTTTACCAGAACCCCTAAATCCTTTCCCGAGGATGGGGTTTACCAGAACCCCTAAATCCTTTCCCGAGGATGGGAAAGGGGGACAGAACGGGGCCATTTCCCCCCCCCCTGCGATGTCCCCAGCGCCATATGGCACGGCGCATTCCGGCACACGGGGAGGGGGCCCCGGCCATGTGGCAGGTGCCGAGCGACAATCCGGGCAGGGCTGCGACAATCCGGGCAGGGCTGCGACAATCCGGGCAGGGCTGGGGGGCGCGGGGGTCAGGGGCTGGCGGCATTTCCCAGGCTCGCCGCTTTGTTCGGAGCCACTCACCAAGGGGAATGCATTAAGGACAAGGACAAAGGCGAGGGGTCCCCGCCGGGGTGGCTCTGCCGCCGCCGCTGTCGCCACCCCCCCGGTCCCCTCCCGGTCCCCTCCCGAGCCGGGCACGGGCACGGAGGAGCAGGAACAAAGGGGCCACGCCGCGTGGGGCCATCTGTCACCTCCCCCGGGTGGCCTCGGGATGAGCCGAGCTGCGGCGACATCGCGCCCTGCATGGCAGTGCCAGCGCTGCCGGGAACGGGCTGCGATTTTGGGGTGTCGCAGTGGCAGCATTCCCAGGAACACTGGGATTTTGGGGTGTCGCAGTGGCAGCGTTCCCGGTAACAGAGCGGGATTTTGGGGTGTCCAGCATTCCCTGGGATGTGCTGGGATTTTGGGGGGTCCCAGTGCCAACGTTCCCAAGAACACGGTGGGATTTTGGAGCTTCCCATTGCCAGCATTCCTAGGAACACTGGGATTTTGGGGTGTCGCAGTGGCAGCGTTCCCAGTAACAGAGCGGGATTTTGGGGTGTCCAGCATTCCCTGGAATGTGCTGGGATTTTGGGGGGTCCCAGTGCCAACGTTCCCAGGCATGTGCCAGGATTTTGGGGTGTCCAGCATTCCCAGGAACAGGGTGGGATTTTGGGGTGTCCCAGACATACAGTGGGATTTTGGGGTGTCCCAGTGCTAGCATTGCCAGGAGTTCTTGGATTTTGGGGTGTCCCAGTGCCAGTGTTCCCAGGAACACGGTGGGATCTTTGGGTGTCCAGTATTCCCAGGAACATGCTGGGATTTTGGGGCATTCCAGACACACGGTGGGATTTGAGTGTCCCAGTACCAGCGTTCCCAGGAATGTGCTGGGATTTTGGAGTGTCCCAGTACCAGCATTCCCAGGAACACTCTGGGATTTTGGGGAGTCCCAGACACACAGTGGGATTTTGGGGTGTCCCGCTGCCAGCATTCCCAGGAACACTGGGCTTTTGGGGTATCCAGCATTCCCAGACACACAGCAGGACTTTGGTGCACCCCACGAGCTGGAATTCCCAATCCCTCCCCTCTCAGAACACCCCACACCCCTTCCCCACCACACCCTCAACCCGCAAAACCCCGATTGCACCAACCCGCTCCGCCTGTCTCCCCCACATCCTCCCACCATTCCCGGCAATTCCTGGGGTACAAACCACACGGGGAGGGGTGCGGGCTGCCCAGGTGAGGCTTTACCTGGCGGCCCAGGTGATGGGGATGCGGTGGGTGGCGTACACGGTGAAGGACAGGGGGCAGCTGAGCAGCCGCGCCTCCTGCGCCGCTCCCAACTCGCGGCTGCCGGGAGCGGCCGTCTGGAAATCGGCGTTGAAGGTGCTGCAGTAGAGCTCCACCAGGTTGAGGATGGCGGCCGTGAGGCTCTCCACGATCCTCTCTGCGGGAAACGGGGAAGCAGGGATCTGTCAGAGCATCAGGGAAACCGGCAGGGATCCGTGGGTTCCCTCAGGGAAAAGGGCAGGGATCTGTCAGTCCTTCAGGGATCCATCAATCCCTCAGGGATCCATCAATCCTTCAGGGATCTGTCAATCCTTCAGGGATCCATCAATCCCTCAGGGAATCAAGGACAGGGATCCATCAATCCCTCAGGGATCCAACAGGGACAGAGATCCATTAATCCTTCAGGGATCTGTCAATCCCTCAGGGATCCATCAATCCTTCAGGGATCTGTCAATCCTTCAGGGAATCAAGGACAAGGATCCATCAATCCCTCAGGGATCTGTCAGTCCCTCAGGGAATCAAGGACAGGGATCCATCAATTCCTCAGGGATCCCTCAGTCCCTCAGGGAAGCAGGGACAGGGATCTGTCAGTCCCTCAAGGATCTGTCAATCCCTCAGGGAAACACGGACAGGGATGGATAAATCCCTCAGGGATCTGTCAGTCCCTCAGGGAATCAAGGACAGGGATCCATCAATCCCTCAGGGATCCATCAATCCCTCAGGAAATCATGGACAGGGATCCATCCCTCAAATCTAAATTTGGGATCCCTGCACTGCTTCCCCCCCACCCGGGGATGAATTAATGAATTAATTTCCCATTTGGATCAAGGGCAATTCCAGGTTTCCCATTTGGAGTTCACAAGGAGCAACACCACCTCCCAAAATCCTCCTTTTTTTTTTTTTCTTTTCTTTTCTTTAACCAGACCGGTTTCCAACCCGTTTTTTGGCCTCAAGAATCGAAGGGGGAGGAGGAGGGGCTTGGAGATGAAAAGCACCACGAACTTGAGCCCAGAAAGGAGAGCAGGAGAAGAGAAATACCTCGATTTTCCCTCTTGGCCAGAACATTTGGATCCTGTGGAGAGAAAGAAAAAAAAAAAGAAAAAAAAACACCACACACACACACACAAAAAAGGGAGAAACCACCACAAAAAAAAAATAAAAAGAGAAACCACAGAAAAAAATGAGAAACCACAAAAAGAAAAAAAAAATAAAAAAGAAACCACAAGAAACCCCCAAGCTCCAGCCCGGTGCTGCCAAGGCAGATTTATTTATTTTACATAACCACCCCAGGCTGCCAGATCCCGGCTATTCATGGATTTTCCACGTGGTGGAAGGAGGGAAAAGAGCCAGATGTGACCATTTTTTTTTTTTTTTTTTTT